GGGTTTCTGGGAGTTTCCGTGTTGAGGGGTTTTCAAGGTTCCAGGGTCCGAGCCTTAGTTTGTTTTGGGTTGAGGGGCTTTGGGGTGCATCACGGCATCCTGGTGTCTTCTTACTGTGGGATGTCAGGCTGTGGGATTGCTCGGCTTGGCTTTCCAGCTGCTCCCGGTTTAGGGTTTAGGGTTTAGGGCGCATTCGAGTGCATTGCGGTCGCCAGACTTGTAGAAGGAAATCCTAAATTTGGCGAAAGTCGCGTCCGAAATCCCTAAAACCTAAACCCTAAAGGGAGTCATATCATGCGAAAAACGCATTCCCACGACTCAAGCCTTGCCAAACAACGCAATGGAATGTTGGTTTTAGCTCTTATGGTGCAGCCCAGGCTATACCTCTACCGCATACAGAAGCGTGCAGACAGGCCCGGAGCTGAAGCGTGGCGTGAATTCCAAATCTCTCAAAGCCGCTACGACCCTAAACCCTCAACCCTTCTTAACCCCAACCCTAAACCCAAAGCACGAAACCCTGCATGGCCCTGAAGAACACTAAACCCTGACGCAAAACCCTAAATCGTAAACCCTAAACCCATGTTCTCTGCGGTAGCCGCTCCTTTCACGGTAAACTCGACAGGGAATTGAGTCGAATAGTGCAAATCCTCGGCTGGGAGCAAACCCTAAACACTTTAGTCTTGGGGTGTCGGGTTGAGGATCAGGGTTCAGGGTCTCGAGTTTAGGGTTTAGAGGTAACCATGGACCACTAGAGCGACATGGTGATGGTGATGCTGAAGAAGAAGACGTTGATAATTTTGGTGATGATGTTGGTGGTGATGATGCTGATGATCATGGCGATAGCGGTGACGGCTGTTGTTTGGATACCAACTTCAGAGTTTTCCTCCTGCTGCACCCTGCTCCTACTGCTACAAGACGACTACTAGCACCACCACTGGCACCACGACTGTTGATGACATAAATCCTGCATTACCTTCAGGACACTAAACTATGGGAACTATGGTATGTTCCTTATTATGGGTATTGCAGATTTATATCATCAACAGTAGCAGCAGCAGCAGCAGCAGCAGCAGCAGCAGCAGCGGCCGCGGCGGCGGCAGCAGCAGCAGCAGCAGCACCACCACCACCAAAACCCTAAACCCTAAATCCTAAACCCTAAACCCTGACCCCTAAACCCTAACCCTAAACCACCACCACCTTATCCTGTATCACCCAGAATAAGGAATATACCCTAATTCCCGTAGTTCAGGGTTTAGGGTTTATGGTTACCCACAAGAACAAATATATTATAATTCCCATAGTTTTGGGTCCTGAAGGTAATGCAGGTTTTATATCATCAACAGTAGTATCATCAAAGTTTAGTCTTCTGTTGCTACTAACACACCTACTCGCTGGATATTCTGGTTGTCATGCTTATTGTCACGAGTGTGATTGTTGTCAAGTCGGCGTCCCCTCTTTATCACATTTCCCGAACCTTACTGTTAAAGGCATTATTGGTATGCTTAGTACTCTTGGTCTT